TATGGTACAAAATCGTAAAGGTTTTGACGGTGCTTCTGAGATGATTTTTTAAAAAAAAAATGAAATATTAAAAGAAAAAGTGTAAACGATAAAAAATGGATGAAAATATAATTGATTTAAATATTTACTAAATAATTTTAAAAAATGAAAAATATAAAAATTATTTTAATGTTGATCAGTAATTTCATTTGAATCATTATGCAAGGTAATTGCATAAAAATTTAATGTATAATAGAGTGTAATTATTTATTAAGTTGCTTAAACTTAATATGTTGTTTAACTATCATTTTTCAGGAATACGTTTAAAATATTAATATGGGTGATAGGAGAGGACATGTCTACAGGAGGAGATGATATGTGGATGATAGGGGTAGTTTCTTTAGTTTTATGTTTTCTTTATTTTTTTTTTACTTTTGTACTTATATAAATTGGATTATCTTATGAATCTGTTAGAGGTTTTGTTTATATGTAATTTTGTGGATTATTGGTTCTTTTCTATATTAAATGTTATTGTGGATTAATATAAATATTTAGAAAAGGCTTCCATTGTTCGATCATCAGTTCCCACCTTAGTTAAATCTAAGTTTTCTGTCCGGGTTGTGACTTATATGACTCATGTTTCGCCTGAGATAACTAAGATGAATTTCTTTAAATTTTCAATTTTGATCTGCTTTCAATTAGGTTATTGAGGCGGTGACAATCCTCCCTATCATTGTCATTGTCCATATGTAAAACAAAATACTTTATCATGTCCTACATGTGAGGGGTGACTTTTATTGGTGTTGGGCACCTAAAATAACTTTAGTTTACATTCCCTCAACTAATTTGGCCATGGCATGCAACAAAATGACAACTAGTATATGATGACTAGGTGGTGGCGACGACCTCTTCTTCCTCTGTAGTTGTTGCACCTTTTAAATGGAACTCTTACATTCCCTCAACTAATTTGGTCATGGACATGCAACAAAATTACAACTAGTATATGATGGCTAGGTGGTGGCGACGACCTCTCCTTCCTCTGTAGTTGTTGCACCTTTTAAATGGAACTACTCTAGGTTGGTGGTGAACTTGTTGAGGGTGATAAGGTTGTTGCATGAAAATCGAGTAGCATTAAGTCTCCAGACTTTGAGGCAATTATGCTGCTCTCTGGATGACTCCCTCAATCTTTTTACTTGGACTTTTCTTCCAAGTTTAGTAGAAGACTGTGCCTCCATTTTATTGATAAATTTTGCATTTGCATGATTTGTAGCCATTTGAAGTTGGAAAGGGTCTTAGGTTATTATAAGCTGCATGTGTAGCAGAATGGTCCCTCATGGAGACCTTTTGTGTGGACGGCTATAACCACAGTTTATTTGGAATGTCACCATGAAGTAGTTTTCCAGGATTTTTTTATTTCTTTACAAAGCTTGCATTTCTTTCTAGCATTGTTGGGCACTGGCAAATTATATTATGATCATCCTCTTTAACTTAGCTAACAATATAATTTCCCGACGGCAAGCGGGAAACCACCTTTAACAACCAACTGATCGAAAGATGCAAAGAGTAATATGCATTTTAGTGCAACATTATGTAGAACTATGAGATTGCTGTTTTATAGTAAAAAACATGATTAGTTGGACCAATCTGATCTCTATACTAGTCTAAACGATGGATCTTGAACTTAGCCTACACCCTGCTTCGATGATTTCTCAGGAGGAGTCATTCGTTAGTTGAGGTTTTCCGCTTTCTACCTGCCCTTCTGGTTGAGAAGTTTAGGGGCCAACTCTTCTTATTTTATGTCCAGGTGGTAACTCTTATTCGGGATTCAATGCCCTTCCTCTCGAGATTCTCCTTCTAGCAACCATGTCAGTAGACTCTTCAATCAACTACAACCTAGGTGTAGTTATGTGGATTTGTTCTCGTTGTGGATCATTCGACTAAGCGTTTATTTCAGTCTACTGTCTTGTTACAAAATCTTAGTTCTCCGTGTTAAAAGCTTCTCTTGCATGTGTCTCTCTTTGTTTGTTCTTCATTTGCATCTTCCGTAAAATTATGTGTGTTTCATCTGATATTTGACATAAGATGTTTGATCATTTTGTTATATCAAGATCTTACTCAAACAGAGGAAAAGAGGAGGGAAAACAGGGAAGGGAAGAGTAGAGGAATCCACTATCATGCTTAAGATGCTACGTTACAAGAGTAATGCGGAACCTCTGGCTCTCCTTGGGATCTCCTATGTATGGGTTAGGATCTAGGGCTTCGACCATTATAGAAAATAATATATATGTAATAAAACATACAACTTGTAGGAAGTTTGCATTCTTTGGGACTCATACTCGGACTAGTTGCTGGTTGTCCAACTTAGAAGGTCACTGATTCTCCTTGCAGCAACTGCTGAGTGGCATTTTGGGCTTATGCGATTGCTAGATTATGTCAATTTGGTGAGTTACTGTGAGTTTTCATGAGTTTAACGAATGTTTACCTCCTTAATTGGTTGCAATTCTTTCCTTGTTTGACGGATAGATGCTTTGAACCCTGCTGGATTAGTCCTTCTAGGGCTGGCTAAACTTGTCCTCCTAGTGCCCTACTAGCAAGCCTTGAGCTCCATTATCGAATTTCTGACTGGTCCACAGCCTAGCTTGAAGGGCTCTTTTTTGGTCTTGGCCGGCGAGTGCATCTCTCTCCCTTCTATTTATGTGAATCTGCCCTTAAGGTACATAGCACTCTAATTCGACAAGATTGTCTCTACCACTCAATAATTGTACATTGAAGGAATAGTACTATTAACCTGATTCCGTTGCTTTTGAATGTACAATGTTTTTGTTTGGCAAAAATGTTTCGTTCTCATGATTGATATAATAGGGAATTTTGCTTTGAAATAAAAAAAAAAAAGAGAAACTTCCATTTACTTAATAAATTAATGCTTCAAGTCAAGTTCTAATGGCACAAGTATTGAAAGAATAGATTCTTGGTCATTGAAATTCGGGAATTTTGCTTTAAATAAAGAAAAAAAGAGAAACTTCCATTTACTTAACAAATTGATGCTTCAAGTCAAGTTCTAATGGCACTAGTATTGAAAGAATAGATTCTTGGTCATTGAAATTCCTAGAATGTCAAGAAGATGTCCTAACTTTAGTTGTGCAATATTTTAGAAAGCATATTCGTTTGATATTTATGCATCCCTTTGTTTTTTTATAAGTACATAGAATGCAACTTCTCTCATTGTTTCATTCTCTTAAAAGCATTTTGCTCTGATAAGTGACTCAACAGGTCAATCCTGGTGAATTCTGCTAGTTGCAATTTTCTGCACTTTGAACTAATGTGTGTCTATTGGTCACCCTGAATCTGCCATATGCTTTACGTCTTTTCATGATGAGGTTTCAAGTCCTGCAGGTCTGTAACTGTATTGGAGCAGTTCAATCTGCAGAAATTTGTGGCTTCACTTAAAGAAACAGCATCAAATAAACTTAAGGGTATCTCATTGCCTAAGACTGTAGCAAGGAATATTATTGAGTTTCTTTCTCTCGGCTGTGGTACGGAATTCTTGATTACTCCGGAATCTTCTTTACTTCTTGAAAGTTATAATGACAAAAAGAAGAGGCGTGGCAAAGCAGTTTTTCTACATAAGGCAAGTTAAATTTATAAGTTTCAATTAACTTATTAGTTCTCCGAGAAATTTATTCTGATTTTCATTTTCTCAGTTGATAATCTGAGTTGCATTCAGGATCAGAGTATTATCTGATGCTATTCTATATGTTAAAATAAAGAAATTTCTGCTGAATATTATGAGATAAAAATATATTAGCAGTTAAAGATAAATTGGTTTTATATCCCATTTTTAAGAAAGCTAAAATCAAGGGCAGCTGAATTGACTAAGCAAAGTTGATATTGTTATGTTGGTTTTGCAAGCCATAGGCTAAAGTCCGAAATGATTTTATAGAGGGACCGAGGGTAGAAGTGATTGAAGATGAGTTTGATCGAATGACTTGAGTGGCTTGAACATCGAAGTGCAGAACATCCAGATAAGGTTGGCAAAAATAATTTTTGTAAACAGAAGAGGTCAGGAGTTGACTTTTGTAGAAGTTGATGAAAAATTCTAACTTAAAATAGAGTTTAAAACATGTAGAAGCTAACATAAATGAATAAAAAAGATTCAAAGTCTGAAGCCACATAGTTTGGATAAGGTTACTTGTGACAATGATACAAGGAACCCCCCAAATGGCACAATATTGAGGGCTGCAGTAAGTTGTTAAAGTTTCAAATTAAGTGATCCATTTTACTTTCTTTGAATTAGTTATATGCTATTCTTGTGGTGTCCAATATGATGAATAAATTTAATAATAGCTCTTCAAAATATTCAATGAGATAATTTTTTGCTACTTTACATTGTAGTACCAGCCATGCAATTCCCTACCGTCCACCTTTATTTCTATTCGTGTGAACATCTACATCACTTGGATGAATGTGATCTATTGGTTTTGAAACCTGAAGCTTGTAGACATCACCAAATTTTAAGTTATTGCATGCCGCAACAACCAAATACTTCTCTATTCTAACTTTGATAATTGTTCAGCTTTGATAGCTTTGTTTAAATAATTCTGATTTGTTTTTATCTGGAAAAATCTGCGCTGCATAATCCATTTGAATGGAAGTTAGATCACGTCAACATCCTTTTTAGTTTCTGTTTTACTGGAAATGTCTTTATTGTACTAGTTTGTTTCTCTTTGCAGCTTCAAAGACATAACTTGATGCTGGAGGCAGCTTGCCCTGGACTCTTTGTGGACAGAAAGGGGACATATTGGGATGTCCCATTGTCAATGACTGTTGATCTTGCTTCAGTTACATTAGGTTCTGGTCTGAGTTACCATTTACTGTTACAACACAATAGCGGACAACCTCAGCACTTTGGTGGTAATCAAACAACTGAGGCGCCTATGTCTCTGCTGCCTGGTTTGTGTGCAAAAGCAGCCATTTCCGTGAAGAAACATGTAGAGTTTTGGAGAAACGAGGAAGGAAAGCTGAAATTGGTTCAACCGTACGACGTATTTCTTTCAAATCCTCACATCTCTGGAGTTGGTATACTTGGTATGCTTCTCTTTCAAATTTCTCAGAATATTTACTCTATTTTAAATCATTTGGTTGCCTATCTGACCACTTATTTTTAGTGATTTAATTTGAATGGGGCAGGTGATGAAGCTATAAGGTTTGCTTATCTCGATTTTGATATAACAAAAACTGTCATGAGTTTGTTTACATTTAATCCAAGTAATGAAAGGAGAAAATGTTTAGCATCTAATTAACAGTTTATCATAATTCATTGGGTTCAATTCCTGAACATGATTAAGATTAGCTGATTTGAATAAATACTATTTACTATGCTATAACATTGTAAATGTTAAATATTTTAATTTTTTTAATTATTTTATCCACATAGGGACTTAAGAGGCGAGTAAACTTTCATTCTTATTATGGAAAATGATGAAGCCTTTGTTTTTTCTGAGAGTGGTATGATTAATCTTTATAT